CTGCGTAGCATCATGAATGCGAGGGCCGAATTTGCCCTGGTCTTTGTAATAGAAAGAACTTTGCAAATACCCAGAAGCTCTTACTTCTACCTCGATAGACCCATCCACATGGAAAGCGTAGTCGAAGAGATAGTCGTAGTTGCCAACAGTTGCAACAGTGCGAGTGTGCAGCGCAGAACCTTTGACGGATCCAAGGCTGGCGAATCCCCAATCATTGCTGCTTGAGCCCGTTCGATGTCGAGCAAGAGGAAAGCCCGAATCCGACTCAAATATGCACAAGGCATCGGGATGCACTTCTGTCGAATTTCCTTCGGGGAAGCTTACGTTCAGCATCGTGCTTCCGAAAGGACAATCAAACCCTTCTACTAAAGTGGCAGAGTATGTACCGATGCTGTAGTATGTATCATGATAGATAGTTCCTGCAGCCTTGGGCTGAAATCCCGCATACTGAGCTGCAGCTTCTTGCAAAGATAGCTCGTAAAGAATGCGCTCGCCCTTGAACTTGATGTCATAGAATTGTAACCCCAATGTGCGCGTAAACGACATGTAGAAGGACCAGCCCATGAATTCAACATACTGCTGTTCAACATCAAGCTTGTACCGTTTTCCACCAAGCTCAATGCTCTGAGGAGCAAGCCGATCATCCAGGTCACGAACGCCCACTTAAATTAGAGACTGTCAACAGGTGCTATGCTTCAGGAGACTATCTGCCTCGAATGCTGGATAGTTTGTAATAGATTTACTCTCTGGTTTATGATTAACATAGGCCCATGTATCGTCCCTTGTTTGGACGAACTCCTCTTTCAAGTCGCCAGCGTCAAATGCTTCGCGCAGTGACTCGATTGTAGGGAAGAATCGAGAGTTAGTGACAATTCCTTTGAGAAAGTATTTAGTTGGGTCAGTGCCTGTGACGTCTAAGAGGACAAATAAATCCAAAGGAACCATATACGAAGCAGATCCAGGATATCGAAACATTATGTTCCGAGAAGCAGTTTCGCCATCGAACGAAACCGGGGTAGTGCTGGTCGAAGTTAAGTTCGTGCGATTATCACTGGAGCCAAAATATGCACCGTCAAAGAGTGCAACGGTTATATCGGAGATGTTAGACATAATAGAGGCCAAAAGAGGCTCAGAAGCTGCGCTACGCTTGCCATCGAAGTACCTGGCGTTGAAGGGGACCGCGCCTCCATTACCTCCATTGAATATGTAATCAAGCTTCGCGATCTCAGTTGCTCCCGAAACCGGGAGAGGGCCAACCACATATTCCTGGGATACCGGCACATCTTTTCCACCTTCGAAGATGACAACGCGAGCAAACTTTGCAGGTAGCGGGCCATCCCCATCGATGTAAGGGAGAATGTCACTTTTGTTTGTGTGAAGCGTGTCAATGAAATACACGTAGTTGTCGGTCAAGGTTGCATTACTCGGATCAGTCAGATTCAAGCCATTAGCAGAATCGTGGACCAAATCCCACACTGCGGAAACGTCATCGTTCGAGATGGCTGCCCATGCGTTCGTTTTGGGCGCCTCAACTTGAGGCGCAGCATCTGTTAGTCCGCATGTCCTTATGTTGTTGGATGCAAAACTCATAGCCCGCCGAGAAACATCTGGCCCAGGGAAAGCAGAGCATGCGCAAAACAATGTAGTAAGCGCAGCCAGCAACAATGAAGGGGCGGGTCGAGACATCGCGACTTTGAAGTGTATAAGGTGATGTTTGAGACTGGATCAGCTTGCTACATTTATCAGGATGTAGTCGGGGTTTAAATCCTTCGAGACCTTGCCAGTGAACACTTCATTGTCTGAGCGAACCACCAGAACAGTTCATAGACATTGGCCGGCGGGCAACTACGCCGCCAAGTCTGTGAATACCAGACTATTGGGAGAGGTGTGGATTGAAGATAACGAAAGTACTTGAAGCAATTATTCTTGGCGCATATTGAGATAACACTAAGCTGCAACTTAGGAGCCGATCCTCTTCATACCTAAGAACATGCTGTTGTACTATCCCTCCACTTTTGGCCCGTTAAGATCACTGTAAAAAGTGATAGAAGACCACACATACGGCCCATTGCTTCGGGGGCAAAACGGGCTGCGGCACACGCCTATCTTCTTGATTGCACTTGTTAGAGTTTGACCAGACGCGGGACTTTAGCATTAGCGATGAAAAGTCTACCTTGCAGCTGATAGACCAGAGGTGCAGACATATAGTGGAGAGAGTTGGCTGCACAGCCCGCATTTTCATGGTCAGAGTAGGTAACGACGAAAACCGGTTCGGTAGAATATAAGCAGTCGGCTTCCGAATAACATCCGGAAGCCTTCTTGGCAAACTTCAGCGATAAGACAGCTGCTTTCTCAGGCAAGCGGACCTTGAAGATAGACTGTCATAATTATTGCACATAGAGATTACCAATCGACCTTGGCAAGCTCCATTCTTTCAGCCGACCCAGATGCACCGGAGGCTGGGGAAGATGCTATCGACGATCTGGACGGATACTACATACCAATCGGGATTTACCCCTCCTCTCTCGCAATCAGGACTTCCCTATCGTTATGGAGTCGTGCGACGCGTGTAATACATAGCTCGCCTAGTTAAGCATTGTCAATCTTGCTTCGGTCTGCATTGCCAAGGCCCGATCAAAAGCTGCGAAGGAAGGCACTTGACCCCGCTCCGTCACGGCGAGATAAGGAGATAAGATCAATGGAGAAGATCCGATTTTGCTATCCAGAGGGTTCCTCGAATAACATCTTGGGCTGGCAAGTTTATGAAAGTGTTCAAGTCATTTGAGTTTAAGTGGTAAATTGACTCAGGAAAGCAACTTCCCTGGCGTGCGCCAAGGCAGTATCTAGAAGGAGAAACCAAAGCACATCTATAGCAGGAGCAAAATGGTCATTTAGGTGAGAATGATGCCATTAGACAAATCCATTGACGAGGAACTCTTTGTTGAAGATGCAGCCGCTGCACAACTTGTTATTGTCTGTTAATACTAGGCCAATTGTCGGGGTCTAAGCAAAGAATGTTCCAACTCAATACTTACCCAAGAGGAGTGTTACTGCGGTGGCAACATGAAGCAGTCTTCACGAACTCCGACACTGCCCTTTGTGGTGGTAATTTATCGCATACGACCTTCCTCACGAACAAGCTACCATGCCTTTATCTTCTTAGCTTGCCTGAAACCAGTCTTCTATCCCACGATCTCTATGTTCGTGTATTGGGAGTAAGAATGTACTCCTGACTTCGGCCTTGTTGATACGTTGATCACCGGCAGTGGATAGCGAGATATATGTTAGACTAAGACTGACGACTAAGCCTTCAAATGCATCCACTTACTTCGAAGTATCTTAACTTATAATCCTTTATTAAGCACTCCAACCTATTTGTGATGCGTTGTTTGGCTTTCCGACGCTATAGTTATCCGAAGTTCGTAAATGGTCATATGGCAACGACTTATCGAAGTGTTTTTACTAGTAGTTCAGAGCTTAGATGAATCTTTTCACATCTAGATATTCTCTATTTCTGTAAAGATGACGAATGATAGCTAATTAAAAAGCTTCAATTGGATATATGCTCCATCGCTGACAATTCTCTTCGACGACACTTCTTGCAATCAAGGAACAACTTGATCCGCCCAATGCAAGACACAATGCTTGTCGGTTCTTCCTGGGAAAATCATGGGTGGGATAACATAACATTGTATGCACGTGCAATTTTGAAGTGATAAATGTTGCTTCGGAAAAGTGAATTTGGAACGACCCTTTTGATCTCATGGGCTTAGGTACTATGCTACGCTTTTCCGTGCCTTATCCGATACCTAATACCCTAGTCAACCGAGGTTTTATACATCTCCCAAATCGACTCTTTTTTTTAACCATAGATACCTAGTCGCTTGCCCATTCACATTGGAGTGCTCAATATACACCAATTAGCCAGTGTTTCATGGGCGACTAATCAGACGCACACAATGGCCGCCCTCACTGAAGTCGTCACGCAAGTGCCTATCCTGGCATCTAACAAGAAACACCGCACTATCAATAACAACACAACCTCGCTGGAGAAAATCAACAGCATTAACGATCTGATATTATACCAAGCACAGTGTATCCCTGATGTGGCATTGATCGCATACCCTTATCCTGACAATACCATATCCGACTTCGCCGAGTACTCCGCAAGGGATCTTAATCAGTTTACTGACCGGGTGGCCATAGAACTCTCGACGCAGGGGTTGAGACCAGCAGTGAGCCGTCCCCGCCGTACAATGCTCATCCAACTTTGAAAATTAATACAATTATAGCGCGCAAGGACTGAGAAAGCTGAAGTGGTTGGCCTCCTTGGTCTTTCAAATCTTGACTACATCCTCGCAATTCTCGCCTTATCTCGGATGGGATTCACTGTATTATTTTTGTCAACTCGACTGCCAACCAACGCATATGTATCTCTCCTTGGTGAAACAAATTGCAAGGCATTGGTCACCGCAACAAGATTCATGAGCTCGGTCACGAGCATCCAAGAGTCTTTTCCCATTCAGAACTTTCAACTGCCAGATCAGTCGACATGGACTCGAATTTCAACACAGGCAATACGGTTTGAAAGGCAGGTGGAGCTCGTGAACGAGGAAGACACAGTCGCCTTCATAGTTCACTCGTCCGGTAGTACTGGTCTCCCGAAACCTATTTACCAGACACACCGACAATGTCTTGGTAACTACGCTACCGGCAATGGAATGAGGGCTTTCGTAACACTGCCTCTATTTCATAATCATGGTCTTTCCACCATGTTCCGCGGCATCGCGGCCGGCAAGTGTACCATGATCTACAACGCAAATCTACCGTTAACAAATAAGAATCTTGTTACGGCGATGAGCAGAACCAACTTCGAAAGTTTTCACTGTGTCCCATACGCATTGAAAGTTCTGGCAGAGACTAGCGACGGAGTAGAACAGCTGGCAAAAGCGACCTTGGTACTTTTTGGAGGCAGCAGTTGCCCCGATGAGCTAGGAGATATGCTGGTGGAAAGAGGTGTGAACCTCGTATCTCATTATGGCGCGTGAGTGTGGATATATCTCCCTTCTTTTTGATCATTAGGAGCTAACAAAGTCCAAGGACGGAGATGGGCCAGCTCATGACCTCGTTGAGAGACCCTGAGAAAGACAAAGCTTGGAACTACGTTCGTCCTCTGGCGAAAGTTAAGCCATATTTATTATTCGATGAGATCTCCACTGGCACATTTGAGCTGGTAGTCCTTGACGGCTTACCCACCAAAACAATCGCCAATTCCGATGACCCGCCGAAGTCCTACCGCACTCGAGACACCTTTGTGAAGCATCCCTACATTACCGATGCATGGAAATACCTTGGCCGTCTTGACGACCGCATCACATTATTCAATGGCGAAAAGGTCCTTCCTGTTCCCTATGAGCATCACATCAGAAAGCACGATATGGTGCACGATTGTCTGGTGTTTGGTGTGGGTCGAGCGTTCCCCGGCTTACTCCTCTTTCCAAGCGTTCATGCGACCAACAAAACTTCTGAAGAAATCCTGGACATCGTATGGCCGACAATACAAGAAGCGAATGAAAAGGCCGAGAAGTTTGGTCATGTGTCCCGTGAGATGGTCAAGATCCTGCCCCTGGGTACAGAACATCCTCGCACAGATAAAGGAACCATCATTAGAGCTGCATCCTATGAGCACTTCAAGGATGTCATTGAAGACGTGTACAGGCAATTTGAAACAGTCAAAAATGCTAGTCGCTTAGCATTGGACGTCCCAGAACTTCAAGAATACCTGTTCAAACTCCTGTCTGAGCGAATCGGAGTTAAAGGTCTTGATCTTCAAAAAGACTTCTTTGTTGCTGGTATGGACAGCTTACAGGCAATCATCGCTCGTGCTAGCCTAGTTCGAGAGCTAGACCTTGGTAAGCAAGAACTAGGCCATCAAGTTGTGTTCGAGTATCCCAGTGTATCGCAACTAGCCGAGTACCTATTCTCGCTGCGCATGGGGTCAGTGCGGCAAGAAAAGAGCGAGGAGGAAGTCATGGAAGAATTGGTAGACAAATATACCATGAACTTCGGATCCTTCAAGAGAGGAACGAAGATTCCAGATGGCGAGGTAGTTGTAAGTTGCACCTTCTGGCGTCGGAGTCTCTTTTACTCACCAGCAAAATTACACAGGTTCTGACAGGCGCGACGGGTTCCCTTGGTGCTCACATCTTAAGCCGTCTTATTCACCTTCCTCATGTTCGTCACGTTTACTGTCTTGTCCGCGCTTCGTCTCCAGAGAATGCCCAAGAACGTGTTTTCAAATCTCTTGCTGCTCGAGGTCTTACGCCACATCATAGCCAATCACATACACAGATAATTTCGTCCCTGGTGAAACAAGGACTGTCTCCATATCATCACACTGCTAACTTCACGGCGCTGCCTGCCGACCTGAGTTTTCCCGATCTTGGACTTGGCAAGGATATCTTTGGTGCTCTACAGGAGACAGTGACTTGCGTTATTCACTCTGCTTGGGCCGTCAACTTCACGTTGAATGTGCGGAGCTTTGAGGCTCAGCACATCATTGGTGTCCGTCATCTCCTGGATCTCTGCCTGTCCGTCCCTTTCAGCCGTCCAGCACGTTTTCAATTCATCTCTTCTATCTCTGCTGCCGCGGGCACACCCATGCCTGCTACCATAAAGGAGGCACTCGTTGAGAATCCTAGCCATGCACAAAGTATGGGGTACGCTCGCAGTAAGTGGGTGGCTGAGCATATTATCTGTGCAGCTGCCGCGTCTACTGGGATAGAGGCACGGGTATTACGCTCAGGACAGATTATCGGAGATTCGGCGAAAGGTCTTTGGAATCCTACCGAGGCAATCCCGCTCATGATTCAGACAGCGCGAACACTGGGTGCATTACCTGCGCTTGACGAAACTCCATCATGGCTACCCGTTGATAAGTGTGCACAAGCTGTGCTCGAACTGAGTGGGTTAGCTGCATTGGGACAGCAAGTCACAGGATACTTCCAGGTACAAGATGAACCTGACATTGTGTATCACCTGGTCAACCCAAAAACGGCAAGTTGGAATAAAGAGATCCTGCCCGCCTTGACCGCAGCAGGTCTCCATTTTGAGATTATTGGACAGCGTGAGTGGGTACAACGACTGCGGGACGGGGAGCAGGACCCTCGAAAGAACCCTACGGTGAAGCTGCTAGATTTCTTTGCAGACAAGTACGACAATGATAGGCCAGGGCGTAGTGGCTTAGTCTTCGAAACCCAGAAGACGGAAGAGAGAAGCGAGACAGTTGCACGCGGCTATGATGTAGTTGCAAGCGGATTAATTTCTCGATGTGTTGCCGCTTGGATGGAAGAATGGGCGTAGACACAGGATACGAAAAACGGCTGAGGGTTACGCGGTAGAGAATGACCTTGATGTGATAGTTCATCATCTCCATTTACCTAGTAAGGGTCTCTACTGTCATCGCGTACAACTTTGTTAAATAATACGTCTTGAAGCCTTAGTCGGCATGTTACCGAGTTTTCCCCTCAGTGTCTATGTACCAAAGAGCCTAGAACTCGTATAGATATCACTTGCAAACTGCACTTACGATCTATTCAGCAACCCTATTCTTGAGGACAAGCGGAGTTCACGTAGCCTGCTAAATGACTGGATCGATTTGTTCAAGCCTATGTCTTCCTAAAATCAATGACAATCCCGTGGTACTACTCCAGTAGATGTGAGCACGTTATCCTGTACTCTACTTGGAATGGATGAGCCAATGGTTACGAAGTTGAAGGGCGAGCTGACTACTCTGTTTACTTTTCCGATCCGACAGACTCGTACCTACCGGTTGCCGGAGTCAAATTGCACTGAAGTCCTTCCCCGCTCTGGTTGTATCGGAAATGCACCCTGCTTTGCCAAGGCGTATTACCAAATATGGCGGGTCCTTACCCCATGGGGTCACCAGTGCCTGTCAGATTGTCTTTAATAAATTCAACGGCGCCCATTCGAGTCAACCGACATTCCTATCCATTGACATTTTAATTGAGCAAGCGCCCTGCTGAAAAGTAACCACCGCTTGGAAATTCCTTGACTATCAATATGGCAACTCAGCATGGTCCAACGCCCACGGCAGTGGTTGACAAGGATCAGACTTTGCATATCGAAGCACAGTGTGATAGTCATCAAAAGCTTGCCATGCCAGAAATTGAGAAAGTGGACCACTTCGGTGCCCACACCAAAACAGATCCCAAAGAGATCGCTCTTGTGCGGAAGCTTGATATCTACATGCTGGTAAGTCTCCTAGAAATCGGCTTGCCATGTGTCCGCTCGCTGATTCTCATATTCTCGTAGCCAATCCTCTGGCTGATGTATTTTTTCAATTTCCTTGACCGCAACGCTATGGTGAATGGCAAATTGAGCTCCTTGACGAAAGATCTCAACCTCAAAGGCACTGAATACAATACTTGTGTCTCCATTCTTTTCGTCGGCTACCTCTGCGGCCAGGTTCCTTCGAACATGATTCTGAATCGCGTCCGACCATCCCTATACATGGCCGGTTTTTGTATGGCTTGGTCCATCGTTTCTCTTCTGACTTACAAAGCGCATGATTACAAGACAATGGTAATCTGCAGGTTCCTCCTCGGGATAACCGAAGCCCCTTTCTACCCTGGAGCGCTGTACATGATTTCCATGTTTTACACTCGAAAGGAGGTTGCCACGCGCATGTCCATCTTCTACACCGGAAACATGTTGGCGAGTGCTTTCTCTGGTTTGATTGCCGCTGGAGTCTTCGCCGGATTGGACGGCAACCGAGGTTTAGCGGGATGGCAATGGTCAGTGCAATTCAAGGGACATGCATATGTGGTGCCGAGCTGACACAGAGACCTTAGGCTCTTCATCATTCAAGGCGCTCTTTCTATCTTTGTTGCTGGTGTTGCCTTCTTCACGCTTCCAGATAGCCCTCTTCAGACGCGATGGCTGACTCCTGAAGAGCGTCAGCTCGCCCACAATCGTATCTTCTCCGATACTACAGACCGACGAGAAGGCACTAGCGTCATCAAGGGGCTTCGCGAAGCTGCTGCTGACTGGCGAACATGGGTTTTCTGCCTTATGGACAACCTCCACCTATCGGCCAATGGTTTCAAAAATTTCCTACCGTCTGTCATGAAGACTTTGGGATACAACACTACGATCACACTAGCCTTGTAAGCAAGATTTGGAGTGCAACCATTCCTTCTATAGTCGTGCTTTCAGCTTCTAATCCAAACTCATAGAACTTGTCCTCCGTATATTGTTGCCAGCGTTGCCTCTATAGTTGTTTCGTGGTCATCTGGTCGGTATAACGAACGCACTTGGCATATAACCATAAGTAAAGCAATCGCCATTGCAGGGTTCGTCATGTCTTGTGCAACTCTCAATGTCCCAGTACGTTTCGTTGGGATCGTTTTGTTCGTCGGGGCCACTTATGGAGTAAACAATATCATCCTTGGCTGGACAGCCAGCGTCATCGGCCAGACGGATGAGAAAAAGGCCGTAGCCATTGCTATGTGCAACACCTTCGGCAATCTGGCCAGCGTTTACACTCCATACCTCTGGCCGGACAGTGATGCGCCACGTTATCTCTCGCCAATGATGGCAAGCGTGGGATTTTCGGCTGGCGTGGTTATCTGCGCGTGGGTGATGCGACTATCACTTCAAAAAAGGAACAAGAAGATTCGGGAAGAGAACTTTGAGGCGACAAATTTCTACGTCTATTAGCAAACTTCTTGAGTTGAGAAGTCACGACTTGCTTCCAGTATGTAAGGCAATAATACGGCAGCTCTGAGGGAATGTGGATTTTTAAAGTATAACTCAATTGGAAGTCTGCAACGAAATTGACAAACAAAAGTCTCCAACATAGCTAGTAATAAGTTTTGATCAGTTCTAGTACAAAGAGAATCTCAGTACTAGCTTACTAGCAATAACCCACACGGTCTACTCCACTACAAGCCTCGGCACGCGAACATCCACTTGGGCACCCCTACAGGCTACGGCCAAAAGGAGGCTCCTCTAGTGCAATCCGAGCGGTGAAACCTGGGGAATGAGCTAAGATTCCCCAGCCAAGTGACAAGCCTAGCAAGCCTAGGTAGCTCGGGCGCCTTTATAAACCCGTCACTCCGCTGTGCCCCTGCGACTTTTCGTGAACTGCCACCCCAAGTTCTCGAGCAGCTCATTATTACCCCTGCTTAGGTGCATGTGGGACAGGGGCAAAGCCGTAAGCCTACTTGTCTAGCAATTCAGATATTTCATGTTGAGAGGTATTGCGGGAGTTCACCAAACTCGTCATTACCGTTGGAATGCCCTTAGAAAAGAATAAGTCGCCGCGGCACCCGCCAAAGAGAAAGGCAGACTCCGGCCCTGATAACACGAATCGTAAGAGGGCACAGAACCGGACGTCTCAGCAATGCCTGCGCGAGAAGAATTTGGCATATGTGCGCAGCCTTGAAGACACTGTTCAGCTCCTTCAGTCCGCTATCGCCAGCGACAATGATGACACCGAAGGCCAGCAAGACCGGTATACGAAGCTCCTCGAAGCACACCTAAAGCAGATGAAAGAGAATCAAGCATTGCGGGACGCACTCCTCCGTCTTCGAAAGAAGCTTTTGAGCTTCAGCAACGCCGCCGCTGCTGCCGCTGGTACGACACGAGAGCCCCTCTTTTGTACTCCTCGTTTTGCCGCTTTCATACTAAGCATACACGGTAACTAGACGATGAAATATTCAGCTCTATACTTGGGCGTGGATCCGAAGGGGCCGATGATAGCCCTCGTGGGGATCTGCAGGCTCATCCCGAGGCCTCATCATCCCAGTCGCAATCGCGCTATCAGGGTGATGTGGAAGATCAGCCAACCAGCACCGAACCCTCTGGAGTAATTTCGGGTGTCCAAGACTCCGGATTGCAAGATACTTGCATCCATGAGCCACCTAGTGTGTCAACCTCGGTGTTCGAAGATGCGGCGACAGCACTGCTAGACTTCCACACGGTCGCTTCTCACGTCGACGACGATAGTAGCATACAAGCTATACTGTTTTCCGGACAAGCGAATTCAAGTGTACATACCATTTCAGCGCTTGATATGCTAATTCCATCCCCGGCGCAAACTATCGTAGGTAGCGAGCGGGTTGTTATCACGTCAGGCACGGTGTTCGGAACCAAACTCTTTAGCGCATGCCAGCAGCTCATAAGAAAAGCGAATCCTTCCTTGATATCAAGCCAGGAGTTGCGAAATGACTTTGGCAAGAGGCTCAGTCTAGCTGCTTGCCACTTGGCATCATGTTGCTGGGGACTAGAGTCATACATCTACGGCGTGGTGAGTATCACAAGCCTTCTGCATTTTGACTCCCTAATCGTGCATCACTAATCACATGATTGGAACAGAATGGAGCTCAATATATTGAGAAAGTTCTCAGCTGGCGGCTCGGCCTTGAGGCCAAAGACTGCGTCCCTTCACCTTTCAGGCCAACACCTTTGCAGTCAAATGACCTTCTTCATTCGTGGTTTATCGACCTTTTCAACTGGCCTGACATACGAGATCAGCTCTTGTTGGAGCAGCATCCTGTTGACTATGATATGCTCACAAAGGATATCATGCTTCACTCGGTCATCGACCAACCTCAACGGGGCGTTGCGGTCAGTGTAATTGACGTTTTCCAGAATCAGATCCTCCGCCGCAAGGCAACCTCTACCCAGAGCAATCCCGTTCGTAATTATCTCAACGACCCGTCCTGGATCTTGTTCGAAATTAGTTCCGAGCTTAGGAGTCTGTATCCTTATGATGGGGACCCTGTGGAACATGCTCTCATTGCAGAACTAGAACGAAGGATGCAAGCCCTACAACCGATGTATCGTAACGATCAAAGCATCTTAGTGCCGACTGATGTGGAGCTCTGCCCAAATGATGTCGCCACCTTTCTGGGACTTGATAATGTGGCTGAGTGGAAGCTGAGCAAGGAATTCGCGAGGAAGTATCCGTTCCTGGATTGTTCAACTGGTACGCTCTTCATTTCTCTCTAAGACGAATCCTCCCGATATTCTGTAAAACTGACAGTGTACTATGTGTAGCTTTATCTTCTTGTGATCTAGCACCTTCTGCGACAGTGTTCAGCTGGTAGCCACATGCGCGAACCCAGAATCGCGTGGAGTCTTGAGAGCGATGGAGCACTTCATATCGGAAATCATTCGAGATTCGGCATGAATGCCATTCGTCTGAATTAACCTAATATTCAGTCCTAGATCGGCTTTGGTTCTATCTAACGCCCTTTGTCTTATCCTCACAATTCCTCGACCTATTACACCAGCCGGGCTACTCGAAGAAATGCTATCATTGTCGCTCTTTGAATGTTTTAGGGTAACAGCTCTGGTAGTATCCTCCTTGACCCCGATCTCAAGTGTTTTCTTTGTCTAACAGATTCCTGGAAGTATTAGTCTCTGTCTGTATTAAGCTGGCCTAGTCGTCATAGAAGCAGCCAGCTATCTCTCGTCATTAAACTCGGACAATTTCGCTACATTGTCCCGAGGCTTGAGATCAGTGAAGGCCCCTGCGGCAGAGTCTTGTAAGAGAACACGAATCCAGTCTGGCAGAGTCCTGACAAGAGTCGACAGTCCCACCGAGGCCGGCACAACAAGGTTCTGCGCGCGGCCGCTCTTGAGGATGCCTTCGATAGTCTCAGCAAGATATTGAGGTGTCAGTGAGGCCATGCCTGGCACGCTCTGTATACCATTAAACATGGCAGTCTGGACGTGGCTCGGGCTGATGCATGATATCCTAACGGCAGGTGCTTTGTGAACATGTTTCAGTTCAGAGTGCAGCCCCTCGTAGATGCTTATAGCGGCTGCCTTACTGGAGCAGTAATCTGTCGCTCCAGCTGTAGCCATGTATCCAGTCTGCGAGGCCACTATCAGGAAGTGGCCATGATTATGCGACGCAAGGGACGGAAGGAAGGTTTTGGCTGTCCAAAGAAGCCCGAGCGTGTTGACACCGAAGGTTCTGTTGCGCAATCAGCATCGAATCCCTGTACTTTAGGATTGACATACACTTGGATATCTTTCTGCTCCGCCTTCAAGATGGGCTTTCCGCGGCAAATTCCTGCGTTGGCAACTATTATAGTTGGTTCGCCAACTTCTCTATGCCCTTTGTGTCAGATGCTGTTGCACACATCACAATTTTGTTCATTGCTGCTAACTCACCTTCGAATTTTGGCAGCAACGCCCTGGAGTTGTTCGTAGTCCATTAGGTTGCATTGATAGTAATGGATGTTCTTGGCTATAGCAGATGTCAGCACACTCGCAAGGAATCTGAGACAAAGGCATTTTACAAGCTGGATATGATAACGGAATCAAATCCAGGACAATGACAGTTGTCCCTCCCGCAGCAAGGCGTTTTACTGTTTCACCTCCAATACCCCCTGACCCACCAGTAACGAGGACGACCTCCTTGGACCAGTCAAAAACTGCCTTGGTCCCATGATTCAAAGCTCTGATGCTCAATATCCTGTTCAGAGAGTAGATGGCGAGGGCCGTACCAGAGGCTAAAGCTGCAGTACGAACCCATGGCTTAGAGTATTCTCCTTGAAGGAAAGAACCGGAGGTCGACAATATGGCGCAGGCTTTCGCAGCAAAGCGATCGGCAAGGTCTTTGGCGCCCATTTGTAATAAGAACGACTTAATTGCAATCATATGTGTTCATGAATTCTTTCCTAAGCACCATCTTCTACTAATCGTTATATAACATACATGTACATCACTAAGATCACCGAAGCTGCGATGACACCCACACTTCGTGTTCGAAGCCTCCACTTCGCGCGTGAAAAACACTGTGAGAGAAATCTGACAGACGCACATTAAGCGCCAACAATTAAGGATTGTGACACAAAGTCGTTTGAGGGACACTTCAATTTCTTCTAGCCGAAGGCACAAGTATGTATGACTTGGTTTACAAGCTTGCGCAGCCTCTGTGGGCCATGAGGCAGACCAATGTCAGAAATTCTCACACCTCCAAGAAAGACCCACATTTCAGAACAGCAAAGGCTCCCTACCCTGGGACCGTGTTTATAACTATACTGATATCTTTCCTTGATCTACACACAGCGTATCCTTACGTGCCTCTGACGTTGGAGTTCTCAGCCAACTAGGTTTGACTAAGTTAATCAATTTGTATGATGGCGGAACCGTAAGTCTGAATCCTCAATCAGCCTGATCAATATTCACAAATGAGTTTAACATTCTTCCTCTGCTCAAGGACAGTTATACAACGTTTCAATGAGTTAATCAAGACTGGAGGGGCTCTCAAAGAGTCCGAAGTCCAAGAGGTCTATGACCAACTTCCCCCAGTGTCGCCCGATGCTATGATTGGAAAGTGGAAGGGTGGAAGCTTCGACACTGGTCATCCAACTCACAAGCAGCTCACTAACTTCAAATGGGCTGGAAAGGACTTCCGTTCCGCGAATGATGTTGACCCTATCATGGGTTGGGATGAGAAAGGAGGGCGGACTTGGTTCTCCGACTATGGACATGCAAGCGTTAGTGAAAGCCTCATCCATTAAGTAGCAAGTCCTAACCCATATCGCAGCTCAGGGAAGTCAAATTTCGAGGAGTTGTATCCGCAGCTATGATTTACGATAAATTTCCTATCATTGACTCGTTCCGCCGCGTATCAGATGGAGTGGTGATGGGTGCTATGGACAACAAAGATCTACCGGACGCCGGCACATATTATTTCTATCTCACAAAGTTTGAGTAAACTCATACATGACAGACGACGTACGAGCGCTTAATTCCAAATTTTCAGGCGCTGTGCGAAAGTCAGTCAAAGAGATCAGATTAGTTGTATCAACAAATTCAAAAATGACTTACGGAGCCATACAGAGCAAGCTATCGGGAAAGGCATGCTCCAACCACCGTTGCTATCGCCAGAATACTGTCAAAGTCCTAAGGAATTGGACGGAAATCAGTTTAGTCCTCCGATTGTTAGTCGAGATAAAGTACAATGTCACTGTAAATTTGGTCAAATGGCCAAGCTGCCAGTTGAACTTTACCTCAAATCTACTGAAGGCTGTTGGAACATTGAATGTAAGAAACAACATTTACATGCACCCTTTGGTCCTCCTTTATCTTAAATTTGATATGTCTGTTTCCTGCATCGATAAAGTCAAGATCCTTTGTCACATAGTAATCACGGAGATTGAGCCAAAACTGACACCAACTTGGAATATGATGTAGTGGAAGTGGTAACAAACTGTCTTCCGTGGTATCAGCATCATCACTTTGACCGCGAATGTTTTGGAAAACCTATCCTAGGAGCTTTAAGCGTTTTTTTGAAATTGCAATCCTTGGTCAGTGACATAATAATATGACCTCTCAGGTTTTCAGATCAATAATCTGTGAGTTTGGTTTGGAGTTACCCACAGGCGCCGGATGTCAGATATTTCTGACAATCCTAATAGCATTAGATTTGCGATTGCTAGTCTACATCATCCCCGCATAATAAGGTCACCTCAATTTATGTAACCGTTTGAAATTCAGCGGAGTGACTTATGTTCCAGAAGCTACACAAGAGGTACGAGCCTACAGCTAGGCTCCGATGCTCCGGGATTAACGTTCTCCCAAACCTTTATTGCTCTCCATAAATAGCCTTGATTGTCACTGTCTACCCAGTTTCCAATCTGGGGTTTTAATATCTCGTATTACTGTTAGCTTCATAGCGAAATAAACGAGAGTATCGATGACGGAATGGGATTTCAAATCAACGACAAAGCGGATGGGATAAGTGTCTCCACCCGTGAGGAGACGTCAAAGCATGCTGGATCAGTGGGTATTAAAGGTATTGTTTTTTTGGCATGGTGCTTGCCGTGATCTTTTGAAGAATATGTTCTAATACTAACACTTCACTTACCCTAGGCCGATATGTTCGTGAGTTGATTCCACCGAACGTTGGTACAGGGCCACATCGCAAGAACGTTCAGGCCCTCGCGCTTATAGTCTGGTCCTTGGCCGCTCTCAGTGGTACATTGGCGTTCTTTCAACCATGGTTTAATATCAGCTCGAACAATAGGGCGGCAGCCTTGGGATTGGTCTTTCCGGGGGCGGGATTTTTCGCTAGCGCCAATGTCTTCGGAGTTGTGCTCCTCCTCCTGACCTGGGCGGCTATTCCACTCTCTCTATTTGCAGTAGGTGTGAGCGAGGTCACCGTGAGGCCACAACTAATGATTCATTATTATAGTGGTTTGGGGCCGGTGCTATTATTTTTCCTCTGCTCGTCTGGGGCCTGTCCGTCTTTGGTGCCTACGTCGTCACCGGAGATGTTGTGTCAGAGTCTGCGGGGTTCTTCGCTCCAGGCATACTATTCACTGTCTTTTTCTTCACGAATAGGTCTGCGGCCGCTGGAAGAATTACAGCTTTCAAGAAGCGCCTGCATAGAAATGAGTTCATACCTCAGCAGCTCGAGGAGATAGATCAAGAGGCTGCCAGAGCATCAATTCAGGAAGAAGAGGGAGAATTAGACCTCGAATCCCTTCGCAGGCTCCAATTTCTCTTCGACCAAGCTTTTCAGAATCTGGATGACTGGTCAGGCTTCACCAAAATTGACCAGTTCCAGACTTCGGCATTACGGTATCAGATCTACCAGATGATGTATTGCCTAGGACTGTACCAGGCAGGCTACGCACCAAATTGCCATGCCTATGTGAGCGAGGCGTTCCGTAAAGTAATTGAGAGATCACTTACGTCAACCGTGCTTAATTTTTGGAAATGGGAGCGGCTCGCTGGCAAATTTTCCTTGGACTGGGATCCTGTGCAGAAAGACAACATGTAAGCAACTTTCGAAGTTTATTTTCGCCTCTTTTAGCCATGTTTGGAGTAATAGAGACAAAGACACTGCCCCAATGTGGCCGGTCACTCCCGAGACATCTCTTTTTTCAAGCTTATTCCTGCTCTTCCACTGTCTTTATCAGGCATCTACTGACTCCAGACGTTGTAGCATGGTCACCGGCTTTTTATTGCAGGGTGTCATGCTCTACACAGCCAACACGGGCGACATGAGATACACTGAGCCAGAAAGCTTAGTCTTCAATATTGAGGACAAGCTAGCCTACAAGTATGCTGTTCAGGACCTTCAGGAGAGTTTGTTGAGGCAGTGGTCAGCCAGTCCATATTGCCTGATCCCCTGTGAGCCAAATTGGATCTATGTCATGTGCAACTTGCAGGGTATGACAGGGGCAGTTATCTATGACCGAGTCTTTGGAACGAGATCTACAGAGATCATCCTCCCCAGCTTTGAAGAGTCTCTCAATACGAACTTCACTGAGCCAAGTGGCAGCGTCTTGCCGATCCGTTCTGAGCTCACAGGCTTCACAATTCCTGGACTCTGCGGTGCTTCGGGCGACCTAGCAACCGTAATTATGGGTGCCGGACCGCTACGAAACCTGTCCCGCCGCCTCTGGGCTATTGTACGCAAGGAGAACGTTCGATTCGACCAGAAGACGGGAAGTCTATCACTCACTGGCTTGGTTGGTGCGGATGCAATCGATCAGGGTAATTATCGAGCAAACGAATACGCCATGTATCCGTATATCGCAATAGCTGCTGCAGAACACGGTGACGAACGCCTGAAAGAAGCTGCGATGCTGAAGTTTGAGCAAGCCTGGGGCCTCGTAACGACGTCAACAGGGGCTAAAAGTCTCGACTTGACTAAAGCCTCCACGCTGATGAATTACGCGGCTCTAACTGCGACTCTAATCCGTCCAGGGGGCTATGAGCGCATGGTCAAGAAAGTAAGATATTGTTTGGAGCTCCGCCAGACGTTGAACTTTGCTGATTGACCTTCATCACCACAGGGTCCATCCAACACAGCATTGAAGGGTCCGATTCTATCAGAGGTCCCATATCCAGGGGTTCTCGTTGCTAAGGCGAGATCGCACATGTCAACAGATCTTGAAATTGTCCTATATCCATCTGCGGATCCAGGAACCTTCAAGCTTGGCATATCTCGCCTGCAACCCGGAAAGTCCTACGCTTACGGAATGAAGACGCTTGTGGCTGATGGGGATGGTAATTTGTCTCTTGATATCTTGGTTGATGGCAGAACACACGTCCATCTCAAGCCTGTCACCATTTAAAGACATAGATATGACTTGAGAGAATAGACCAAATGAAAAAAGTAAATCCTTACAGCCATATTAGCGTGCATCCATCTCCATGTGTGTGATTATTGTGATGATGACTTAGTGGCTCATCCTGTGCGAATATCAATTACACGTATCTACAGCTTCGCTAAATAATCGTTATGTTACCAAAGCTGTGAACAGCATTCCTGGGCTTATTTAAATTTACTTGCTTCATTCACTAAATCTGGTCAATTCTCATGCTATTAAAAAGAACGAAGACACTGCTCAATGTCATCCCTATACTAGAACACAGCCTAACACATGTTTTTAGCGCTTGGTTAGAATGCCATGAAACAGAGGTGCGGGCGAAACTCACGAAGAAGGGGAATACTTCACCCCCAAGGCCCCCGATGTCCAGAGAAGGGCGACAGTGTTGTACATAACGGCCCAACAAAGATTCTGAAAGATAATATGTTCCATCCGACGCGACAGTCTTATGAGGAAGAGAGTCCTACTGAGCGTACCATCATCTGCCATATTGGCATTGAATATGTTGGGTGTCAGTGTTGCGTCGGAGATATTAAGCTCACTTGAGGAGAACATGTCTGGATCAGGCGCGAAAATACTGAAAGATGCTGATGCGAAGGATGGAATGTCATTCAGGTTGTCACCAACGAAAACTGTCGGCGTGCGTTGGCGAAATTTCTTGACAATAAGTGCCTTCTCCTGTGGTAGACAACCAGAGAAGACCATGCTGTTGTCAATACCGACTTGGCGCGACACAGCCATTGCTGATGCATGACTATCCCCAGTGACCATTCCAACTCTTATTCCACTTCGCTTGAGCCCTTGAATGGTTGTACTAGCATCTGGACGAATGCTGTCTTGGAGGATAAGTATGCCAGCTTGCGCTCCATCGATCGCCACAATGACGGTAGATGTGACGGCATTCCTAAGCTCAGTAGGAACCGCAGCTAGGCTAACATGGATGCCCAAGGATTCCATGTAGTGGCGATTTCCAATGGCTAACGCCACCGACCATGACTGTCGACCGGTGAACGCTGCAGTCCCGCGAACTCCGCGCCCAATTTCGTAGGAAATTTCGGTCACTTTAGCTGAATCAACGCTGAGCCCAGGCTCGAGGCTTTTCAAATGCTTGTCTGCTTCACGAGAAATAGCAAGCGCTACGGGATGCTGATAACCGTCTTCCAGCTGTCGAATCGCGCTCCACATCGAGGTATCCCAAGTATTATGCTCGATAACGTGTGAGACTTGCAAGATGCCATTTGTCAATGTGCCTGTCTTGTCAAATAGAATGACCCCGGCAGATGCGGCACTCTGTATTCGATTGTATCTTGTTGTAAGTCGCACGCCTCTTTTGGAGGCTCTGACTAGAATAATATTAATATTTAGGGTCAGAATGTCAGAGGTCTCTGTTCGTAATCACGAACCTGTAGCTAGTAATTTAACCGTCGGCAGACTGAGGCTAAGAGCACAAGGGCAAGCAGCGAGAAGCATGGCAGAGGCTCGACCTAGCATGTCTACCGAGCTTATGCTGGAAGCGTACCAGAGTTGCCCAACACACACCACGGTGGTAAGCAGCAGATAGATTGTGACAAAATGCTGGATGTGATTCCCGGGAGGGGCTTCCGGGAAGATAACCTCTGCATCAACAATTGAGTCCAGTATCTTGCCCAGTCGAGTAGAGCGTCCGCATGACTGGACTCTGACATTGAGCGTTCCATGTTCGACTCTGCTACCAGCAAATACAGTGTCGCCACAGCTTACAACCCGTGGAATGTTTGAGCCATTCATCCAAGCTTCAAGAACTGTAGTCTCATCTTGGCTCTCTACTACGCCATCACCTGGAATTTGATCCCCCTGAAGGATAACGACACGATCGCCGGGAGAAAGCATGTTTATGGGAACTTCGGTCACACTCGTTGAGTCTTTCTCGCAGAGCACAGAAGCAGTTGATGGAATGAGTTTGATCAAGGGTAATCCGAAATCAAAACTTCGCTGAGACACAATAGCTTTGAGGAGTCGGCCACCAAGCACCGAGGTAGAAATGATTGGGATTGCACCCAAAGCCGAATTACAGAGTCCATGATAAATTGTTCCATGGCCTATGGAATGTGTTATTACACTCTGAAGCAAAGACGAGAGGATACCGAGGGATCCCAGGGTCGACATATTGGGCTTCCGGCCGTTCCAGATCAAGTGGCAGGTCTCAAGGTGCAACCTCGCGCCAGCTATGAGGCTAAGTGCAACCATAAAGAATATCGTCGAGTCAATAGAAATGTTCCCCTTTGGTGGTGCCAGGAGCGGAGATAAATATCTCGCGACTGAGATTGTGAGAGAGGAAAAGGCTGACAAGGTGAATGCTCGCTGCCAAATCTTGACCTGTCTCTCACGGGCGCCGACCGACTCCTGAATTACGGTGAAGGCTTCGCCCCACCCATTAGGTTCTGCTGTTAGGGAAGGCGAGGCTTCATACCCGGCAGAACGAATAGTGTCAATTATTGCCTGTAGAGAAACTGTTTCGTTGTATATGACGTGTGCACGAAGCAGGGCTAGAGATATCGATATGTGTGTTATCCCAGGGATGGTCTTAACGAGTATTTGAATGTCTGTCACGCAAGAGCCGCACGTGAGCCCTCCTAAGCTCAAAACAGCAGCTTCGCTATGTTGTTTGGACAAGACTGAATATTTGCAGGCCGAAAATTGTAAATCGTTCGTGGCGAGCGCCTCTTCCCCCTTTTCTGGTCGTCGAAGTACATCGAGCAACTGCTCGCGCATTCCTAAAAAGCGAAAAACAAGGTAAGCGGCAGCGGCACAACAAGCCATTATCCATTTTTGATGCTGGAAGCTGGTGTTTCAGGTGGCAACCTGGCTGTCTTCCTCTTTTGCATTTCCTCATCACTGCGGAGATGCGATCGCCTTGTAGCGCCACAGTTGACGGCCTAGTGCCTTAGTCACACTCGGAGCTGATCACATGGCAATGTCGGAGAGGTCTACATTCGCCAAGGTGACTGGATATTTCTGACTGTATTATTTCTGACATAGCTGGAAGCTGCTCGAGTTAAGTGGAGCTAAATAAAATAGGAGGCAGAAAATGGTGAGGGTGAGAAGAAACCTCACTAAGGGTGGTTAAGTGGACCTTCTACCTAATCGGGGTTTGGTGGCTTGGGGCAGGATTCAGTATATACTAAATAGATGATATACTTAGTCCTTGAAGATTATGCCACCAATCCCTTCCATGCAACGTGATGTAACAAAAAACGAAGTTGTGGCGGTTTTTGTATCGAGAAGTACGCTCGTCAGTTAACTCTCTCTGGCAAGCCAAGATGTGGTGATGTGATGATATGAGTTGAGAAATGAGCCGCGTGTTAATATTGAGAAATTAACATAACAAGCCAAGTTAATGTCAAATGGGATGCGTGGTAAGAGAACCAGAAGCATCGTGTTGAATTTACGCACGCACACTTTAGTCTAGATGGTGTATCCGGTTGGGCATGAGACGGGCTGTTCTCCAATTCAGTCTTTCTGTCGTCACATCCAGTTGTCTGGGTGGGGAATCCTGCCCCAGATCTCATCGGCTCGGATAAGCAAGCCGGCATCTGAGTTTGTCCACAGCGTCAATTTATGTTAGCCACTTCGCTTCTCCTACTTCAGAGCCGCGCACACCCATAATATTTTGTTTGGCACTGTCTCAGAAGACTAGGTATAGAAATGTCGTCAAAGAGAGTATTCAGCCTCAACAATGGCTACAGCATCCCCGCTGTCGGACTCGGGACGTGGGTGAGTCTCATGCTGTCCCGTGCGTGAGAACAACCTCAATGACGGTCAATGATTCTTTAGCAATCTGCACCCAATGAGGTTGCCCTGGCTGTTGAATTTGCACTGAAGCATGGTTACCGTCACATCGACGCGGCTATGGCCTATGACAATGAGGAGGAAGTTGGGGCAGGAATCAAAGCATCTGGGGTGGCACGCAGCGAGATCTTTCTGACTTCAAAGCTATGGAATACACACCACAAGGGCGAAGATGTCGAGCAAGCTGTCAACACATCTCTTGCAGCTCTAGGAACAGACTACCTAGACTTGTATTTGATTCACTGGCCAGTTGCCTTTAAAAAGTCTGATCAAGAGTCTCTACGATTTCCAATTGACAAGCGGGATGGTGGAATACATGTCATCGACGTTCCAATTGAGGAGACTTGGAAAGCGATGGAGTCTCTCGTGGATCAAGGGAAGATTCGCAGCATCGGAGTCAGTAACTTCACCCGAGAGAGGGTCGAAGAGATACTCAAATTGTGAGCGATTCCTCCCTCTTTCCAAATTGAGCATATCGATCAAGTCTGACAAGGGCTGAACTATGTAAGCGCACGAATCAAGCCCGCTGTGAATCAGATCGAGGCTCATCCATACCTCCAACAACTAGAGTTGCTGGAGTGGTGTAAGGGACAGGGAATTGTGGTCACGGCGTATAGCCCGTCTGGAAACAATATTTATGGTCTTCCGAAAGCCGTCGATGATCCGGAGGTTATATCAATCGCAGGAGAGCTTGGCAAAAATCCTACGCAAGTCCTGATTCAATGGGCAGTTCAGCGAGGGACAGTCGTGTTACCCAAGTCTGTAACACCGTCTCGCATTGCAGAAAACTTCGAAGACTTTACACTGCCTCCGGAAATGTTCGGGCGAATCAATGCATTGGAGAAGAACCATCGTTATAATATGCCTATTCGCTTGGGGGTGGACATTTTTGGGGAGCACGATAGTGAGACCTTAAAGAAGGCGCGACAGGATTGGATTGCGGCACAAAAGTAGAATCACCACTATCAGCAAAAGAGTTTAATATCGAATTCAAATTTGGAGGACCAAAAACACCCCCTCCCTACAAGACCTTCAGAAAGACCAAGAATTATATGCTAAAGTGAATGCCAAAGAAACCAACCCCTGATATGACTCACCTCCTGTTGTTGACACTTGCAGAGAGCGTGTCAAAGAAA